CTGCAGGCTCTATGGGGCCGAGGATATTAGTAATGTATATTACAGGGAATGTACATTTTTGTACTCATTCAATTACTTTTTTACTTTTTTTATTTCATTTTGAATATCTAAATAGGAAATGCTGCATATGAATAATTCTTTTATGTAACTCGCAGCCAGCAAGCGGTGGGTTCAAGGCCGCAGCTCTCCTGCAGATGAAGGACTCGTTTTGTAGACGACCTCTGCTGTGATAAGATCTGAGGAGCAGGAGATCCAACGACACAAATACAGCCGAACGATTAAAAGTATAACTCAAGGCAAGACATATTCATTTTCTAGTTTTGGGATGGAGTGGAGAGGGATTAGAACCCCTGTCAAGTTGTGTAATAGAAACAAAATCCCAAGTTTTGGGTTGTCACCAGAACAGGAATGGAGGGGAATCTTCTAATAGGGACACAGGTTGTGGTGACAGCCGGGGATTCCCTCACTTTATATGCGTTATGCTGAGGATACATTTATAAACGTCATCTCTTTAACAGCTAGGAGCTGACACTTTGCAGAGCTGCTGGGTGTCACACCCAGCTAGGGATCGGGAACCAAAGTGCTTCCCGATCATGTGATCGCTATGTCAGCCTACATGCTGGAAAATAATATTCTTAGCTTGCAGTGTAATTGTATAACTGTCTGATATCTACCCACTTCCAAGTACCGTCCCTTGGTTCCTCCACCTACCCACCTCCAAGCACCGTCCCTTTGTTCCTCCACCTACCCACCTCCAACCACCGTCCCTTGGTTCCACCCCCTACCCACCTCCAAGCACCGTCCCTTGGTTCCTCCACCTACCCACCTCAAAGCACCGTCCCTTGGTTCCTCCACCTACCCACTTCCAAGCACTGTCCCTTGGTTCCTCCACCTACCCACCTCCAAGTACCGTCCCTTGGTTCCTCCACCTATCCACCTCCAAGCACCGTCCCTTTGTTCCACCTCCTACCCACCTCCAAGCACCGTCCCTTGGTTCCACCCTCTACCCACCTCCCAGTACCGTCCCTTGGTTCCACCTCCTACCCACCTCCAAGTATCGTCCCTTGGTTCCACCCCCTACCCACCTCCAAGCACCGTCACTTTGTTCCACCCCCTTCCCACCTCCAAGTACCGTCCCTTGGTTCCACCACTTACCCACCTCCAAGTATCATCCCTTTGTTCCACCTCCTACCCACCTCCAAGTACCATCCCTTTGTTCTACCTCCTACCCACCTCCAAGTACCATCCCTTTGTTTCACCTCCTACCCACCTCCAAGTACCGTCCCTTGGGTCCACCCCCTACCCACCTCCAACTACCGTCCCTTGGTTCCACCCCCTACCCACCTCCAAGTACTGTCCCTTTGTCCCACCTCCTACCCACCTCCACGTATCGTCCCTTTGTTCCACCTCCTACCCACCTCCAAGTAGCGTCCCTTGGTTCCACCCCTACCCACCTCCAAGTACCGTCCCTTGGTTCCACCACTTACCCACCTCCAAGTATCGTCCCTTGGTTCCACCCCCTACCCACCTCCAAGTACCGTCCCTTGGTTCCACCCCCTACCCACCTCCAAGTATCGTCCCTTGGTTCCACCCCCTACCCACCTCCAAGCACCGTCCCTTGGTTCCTCCACCTACCCACCTCAAAGCACCGTCCCTTGGTTCCTCCACCTACCCACCTCCAAGCACTGTCCCTTGGTTCCTCCACCTACCCACCTCCAAGTACCGTCCCTTGGTTCCTCCACCTATCCACCTCCAAGCACCGTCCCTTTGTTCCACCTCCTACCCACCTCCAAGCACCGTCCCTTGGTTCCACCCTCTACCCACCTCCAAGTACCGTCCCTTGGTTCCACCTCCTACCCACCTCCAAGTATCGTCCCTTGGTTCCACCCCCTACCCACCTCCAAGCACCGTCACTTTGTTCCACCCCCTTCCCACCTCCAAGTACCGTCCCTTGGTTCCACCACTTACCCACCTCCAAGTACCATCCCTTTGTTCCACCTCCTACCCACCTCCAAGTACCATCCCTTTGTTCTACCTCCTACCCACCTCCAAGTACCATCCCTTTGTTTCACCTCCTACCCACCTCCAAGTACCGTCCCTTGGGTCCACCCCCTACCCACCTCCAACTACCGTCCCTTGGTTCCACCCCCTACCCACCTCCAAGTACTGTCCCTTTGTCCCACCTCCTACCCACCTCCAAGTATCGTCCCTTTGTTCCACCTCCTACCCACCTCCAAGTATCGTTCCTTGGTTCCACCCCCTACACACCTCCAAGTATCGTCCCTTTGTTCCACCACTTACCCACCTCCAAGTATCGTCCCTTGGTTCCACCCCCTACCCACCTCCAAGTACCGTCCCTTGGTTCCACCCCCTACCCACCTCCAAGTATCGTCCCTTGGTTCCACACCCTACCCACCTCCAAGTACTGTCCCTTGGTTCCACCCCCTACCCACCTCCAAGTATCATCCCTTGGTTCCACCCCCTACCCACCTCCAAGTACCGTCCCTTTGTTCCACCTCCTACCGACCTCCAAGTACCATCCCTTGGTTCCCTTTGTTTCTCCACCTACCCACCTCCAAGTTCCGTCCCTTGGTTCCTCCACCTACCCCATCAATGATGGGGCACTATTCCTCCCAATGATACCAATGATGGGGCACTATTCCTCCCAATGACACCAATGATGGGGCACTATTCCTCCCACTGACATCAATGATGGGGCACTATTCCTCCCAATGACACCAATGATGGGGCACTATTCCTCCCACTGAAACCAATGATGGGGCGCTATTCTTCCCAATGACACCAATGATGGGGCACTATTGCTTCCACTGGTACTAAATGATGGGGCACTATTCCTCCCACTGACACCAATGATGGGGCACTATTCCTCCCACTGACATCAATGATGGGGCACTATTCCTCCCAATGACACCAATGATGGGGCACTATTCCTCCCACTGAAACCAATGATGGGGCGCTATTCTTCCCAATGACACCAATAATGGGGCACTATTGCTTCCACTGGTACTAATGATGGGGCACTATTCCTCCCACTGACACCAATGATGGGGCACTATTCCCCCTACTGACACCAATGATGGGGCACTATTCCTCCCACTGACACCAATGATGGGGCACTATTCCTCCCACTGACACCAATGATGGGGCACTATTCCCCCACTGACACCAATGATGGGGCACTATTCCTCCCACTGACACCAATGATGGGGCACTATTCCTCCCACTGATACCAATGATGGGGCACTATTCCTCCCACTGATACCAATGATGGGGCGCTATTCCTCCCACTGACACCAATGATGGGGCACTATTCCTCCCACTGACACCAATGATGGAGCACCATTCCTCCCACTGACATCAATGATGGGGCACTATTCCTCCCACTGACATCAATGATGGGGCACCATTCCTCCCACTGACATCAATGATGAGGCACTGACATTGGGGCACTATTCCTCCCACTGACACCAATGATGGGGCACTATTCCTCCCACTGATACCAATGATGGGGCACTGTTCCTCCCACTGACACCAATGATGGGGCACTATTCCTCCCACTGACATCAATGATGGGACACTATTCTTCCCACTGACACCAATGATGGGGCACTATTCCTCCCACTGACACCAATGATGGGACACTATTCCTCCCACTGACATCAATGATGGGGCACTATTCCTCCCACTGACACCAATGATGGGGCATTATTCCTCCCACTGACACCAATGATGGGGCACTATTCCTCCCACTGACACCAATGATGGGGCACTATTCCTCCCACTGACACCAATGATGGGGCACTATTCCTCCCACTGACACCAATGATGGGGCACTATTCCTCCCACTGACACCAATGATGGGGCACTATTCCTCCCACTGACACCAATGATGGGGCACTACTCTTCCTCCTACTGACCACTAATCCTGAGGCCACGTTTATGTTCACTAATGCTGAGCCCAGGACGTTTTTTCCCCCACTGGCCCATTATGTGAAAAGTTTGGAGACCCCCGCCATAGGAGCTAATAATCTTAGGTTGCCGCAGTGAAAAGCGTTTTAACCTACAAGCATGTTTGTTTTTTTTTTGGGGGGGTTTATTATCGTACAGAAGAAATTTATTAGATTTTTTTCCCGCCCTGACATATGTCAGCTTCTTCCAGTTTAATTTGCTAAGCGCCACCAGTCACTTAAACTTTACACAGCGAGCCGCAGTGAGCGGGATGACAGACGTAATGTTCTGCAAACAGTAGTTAGTTCAATGAAACATCTTCTACAGCAACGCACAGAAGGTCAGTTATGGGGAAAACTAAAACCCGCGTTGAATTACAGTCTCTCATAACGACGCGCCATTTCCAACTTCTGCTATCAAACCATCTTTTTATTCCTCTTAAAACCAGGAAAAAAAAAAATAATTTGTGCTTTAGGCGCTAAGTGCAGATGGTGCTTCTGCATTCAAGCATCTAATTACAAAATTAGATGATATTTACTTATCATTTTAATTAATGCGCTCAATAATGAGATATCTGAAAGCAGGCCACGCTGGAGAGCCGATTATATTTAGGAGTGGAAAAAGACAAACTATTTGGGTCACCGTATGTTAATGTGGTCTGTGGTTTCCTTATTCTTACAGATTGCGTTCTTCATTATGGAAGCTAATGAGAGGAAACAAAAATCAAAATTAATTTCTTCGAATGATTGTTGGTGTTTGCATAATGAGTACAGCTGTAGGATTAGGAAGGAGGGGGCTCGTCCGGGATTGCCTGTACTGGGGATCGGGGAAGTGAAGTTTTTATGTCTTTAACCACTTCCAGTCCGGACACTTTCCCCCACTTCCAGTCCGGACACTTTCCCCCCTTCCAGTCCGGACACTTTCCCCCCCTTCCAGTCCGGACACTTTCCCCCCACTTCCAGTTAGGACACTTTCCCCCACTTACACACACTTTCCACCGGACACTTTCCAGTCCGGACACTTTCCCCCACTTCCAGTCCGGACACTTTCCCCCCTTCCAGTCCGGACACTTTCACTTCCAGTCCACTTTCACCCTTCCAGTCCGGACACTTTCCCCCACTTCCAGTCGGACACTTTCCCCCCTTCCAGTCCGGACACTTTCATCCCCTTCCAGTCACTTTCCCCTTCCAGTCCGGACACTTTCAGTCCCCCCCCACTTCCAGTCCGGACACTTTCCCCACTTCCAGTCCGGACACTTTCACCCCTTCCAGTCCGGACACTTTCACCCCCCTTCCAGTCCGGACACTTTCACCCACTTCCAGTCCGGACACTTTCCCTTTCATCCCACTTTCAGTCCGGACACTTTCCCCCTTCCAGTCGGACTTTCCAGTCCGGACACTTTCCCCCCTTCCAGTCCGGACACTTTCATCCCCTTCCAGTCCGGACACTTTCCCCCCTTCCAGTCCGGACACTTTCCCCCCCCTTCCAGTCCGGACACTTTCATCCCCTTCCAGTCCGGACACTTTCACCCCTTCCAGTCCGGACACTTTCACCCACCTTCCAGTCCGGACACTTTCCCCCCCTTCCAGTCCCACTTTCCCCCCTTCCAGTCCGGACACTTTCCCCCCTTCCAGTCCGGACCCCCCCCCTTCCAGTCCGGACACTTTCCCCCCACTTCCAGTCCGGACACTTTCCCCCCTTCCAGTCCGGACACTTTCCCCCCCTTCCAGTCCGGACACTTTCACCCCTTCCAGTCCGGACACTTTCACCCCCCTTCCAGTCCGGACACTTTCACCCCCCCCTTCCAGTCCGGACACTTTCATCCCCTTCCAGTCCACCCCCCTTCCAGTCCGGACACTTTCACCCCTTCCAGTCCGGACACTTTCACCCCTTCCAGTCCGGACACTTTCACCCCTTCCAGTCCGGACACTTTCATTCCCCGGACACTTTCCAGTCCGGACACTTTCACCACCTTCCTGTCCGGACACTTTCCCCCCCTTCCTGCCCCCATGCCAATTCTCAGCTTTCAGCGCTATCACACTTTGAATGACAATTGCGCAGTCATGCAACACTGTACCCATATGAATTTTTTAGCATTTTTTTGAGACAGATAAAGCTTTATTTTGGTGGTATATATTCACCGCTGGGATTTTTATTTTTTTGCTGTTTAAATAAAAGTCCCAAAATGTTGAAAAAAAGTGTTTTTTTCTTATACAATTTTGCAAATAAATAATATTTCATCATAAATCTTGGCCAAAATTTATTCCGTTTTCTTTTTAGTAAAAAAAAAAAAAAAAAAAACCCAAATTAGTTTATAACCAAAAATTAACATTTTTAAACATTTTTTTTACATACTGTCACCCTAGCAGTACATGGTTACCATGGTGACACTGTACTACTTGTGGGGGGTGATGAAGAGTTTTTTGTTTTTTTTTACACTGATTGCTTTTACACCCATAAAGGCTGTAAGAGGAATCATTTCTCCTTCTCTCTGGCTGCATTCCTGCAGCCATTGAGAAATACTGTGTGAGATGTGATTGGTCACAGCTTGTCACATGGTACAAGGCTATTGTGAATGGCCCTGTACCATGTGACCTCTGTGATCATTCACAGATTTCACACGTAGTAAGCAGTGATGTCAGAAGTGACATCTTGCTTACTACTCTGTATGTGATCCCTTATTGGCCATTCAGTGATCACATGATCGGGACCTCCCACAGAGGTCCCGTCCGACGATCGGTGTTCCACTGTGTCCGGAGGACACAGCGGGCACCGGATCGCGGTGCTGCACGCTCCCAGGGAGTGCACACAAGCAGGGGACGGGGAGGCCATTTATAAACGTCCACCCACACCTGCACTGCCACCGTCCATCCGTTTATATACATGGGCCGGACGGGAGGTGGTTAACCCATGTCGATAAACGGCCGGACAGGAGCACTCCTGATTGGCCAGTAAACAAGATTTCACTTCCTGACATCTTTGCTTACTACTTGTGAAATCTGTGAATGATCACAGAGATCACATGGTACAGGCAGTGGTGTATTTAGGTTTTGTGCTGCCCCAGGCAACACAAAAATCGTAAATCGGACACTGACCAACACCCCCCTTCCCCTCCCGCAGGGAGAGCCTGACATTGACCAACAACATCTCTGCCCCCCCACCTGGAAGAGCCTTCCACTACCCCCCTGGCGATACAGAGAAAGACTCTCATCTTCAAAGCTTCAGACATCCCCAGGAAGGAGAGTCAGGCTCCACATACACATCAAGCAGCCCACAGCCTCTCTTGGATACCACCTGGTGTGCTAATGCCAAGTTGTGGTCCTCAGGATACGTCCGAGGCAAAAGGTCTAAGCACTAACCGGTCTTCACCAGAGCTTCTGATGGTGGAGATGGGTTTTGCTGTGTGCTAGTGCCAAGTTGTGGTCCTCAGGATACGCCCGAGGCAAAAGGTCTAAGCACTAACTGGTCTTCACCAGAGCTTCTGATGGTGGAGATGGGTTTCGCTGTGTGCTAGTGCCACGTTGTGGTCCTCAGGATACGCCCGAGGCAAAAGGTCTAAGCACTAACTGGTCTTCACCAGAGCTTCTGATGGTGGAGATGGGTTTTGCTGTGTGCTAGTGCCAAGTTGTGGTCCTCAGGATATGCCTGGGGCATAAGGTCTAAGCACTAACTGGTCTTCACCAGAGCTTCTGATGGTGGAGATGGGTTTCGCTGTGTGCTAGTGCCACGTTGTGGTCCTCAGGATACGCCCGAGGTGTAAGGTCTAAGCACTAACTGGTCTTCACCAGAGCTTCTGATGGTGGAGATGGGTTTCGCTGTGTGCTAGTGCCACGTTGTGGTCCTCAGGATACGCCCGAGGTGTAAGGTCTAAGCACTAACTGGTCTTCACCAGAGCTCCTGATGGTGGAGATGGGTTTTGCTGTGTGCTAGTACCAAATTGTGGTCCTCAGGATCATCCCACCAGGAGGTGAGCAAGCCGGGCCACCAGCAAGAGAGAGAGAGATTTAGGCAAGCACTAACCTTAACCTCTCTGGAGCCAAGCCCAGTGTCTTCCTTCCTTGTGCGGGAAGCTTTGTGGAGCTTTGCCAAGTCCCCAGGTGGTGTTGCACCTCCCAGAAAATTGCAGCCTTAGGCAAATGCCTTGTTTGCCTCGTGGTAAATAAGCCAATGACTCACAGTGTCCTGTATCCTTGACTGTGGCTGCAAAAACAGCCCTGTCAAAGTGCCTGTGCTAGCTCATTTCTTCTCTCCTCATCCAACCTCTCTGCTCTGACAAAGCAGGGAGCAGGAAAGAGTTTACAGCTGCAGTGTGGGTTGGCTTTGAGATGTCAGACCCCGGTCCATGTGACTGTGGTCAAGGAGTGCCATAGATTGGGGCTATTTCTGAAAACTGTGCCCACAACAAGGCTGGCTGAGGGCAGAGGACTAGTGTTGCCCACAGTTTCCCTGCAGCTAATATCTCCCCATCGCACTCTCCATGCCTTGTTCTGTGCTGTTTCAGTGTGAAGGAGGCCATCTTGGTAGAGGTAGGGATTTGCTTCCTCACATCAGAGCCTCCAGCGAGGGGTACAGTGAGCAGCTTAGTAGTAACCTCACCAAGTATCACTCCAAAACGTATGATACTAGAAATCCGAGTCTAAGGAGATGAGTTTTCAGAGATCTTCTAAAAGTGGACAGAGTATGAGATAGTCAGACACATTGGGGAAGGGAGCTGCAGAGGATGGGAGCCGCTCTGGAGAAGTTCTGGAGGTAAGCATGGCAGGAGGCGAGAAGAAAGATAGAGAGTCTTGGAAGGTACGAAGAGAACAATTTGGTTGGTATTTTGAGACTAGGTTAGTGATGTAGCTGGGGGCTGAGCTGTGGGTGGCTTTGTAAGTTGTTGTAAGTATCATAAATTTAATTTGTTGGGTGAGCGGGAGCCAGTGAAGGGATTGGCAGAGAGGGGTGGAGGACACTGAATGAAGGCCAGTGGAGGGATTGGCAGAGAGGGGTGGAGGACACTGAATGGAGGCCGGTGGAGGGATTGGCAGATTGGAGTGGAGGACACTGAATGGAAGCCAGTGGAGGGATTGGCAGAGAGGGGTGGAGGACACTGAATGGAGGCCAGTGGAAGGATTGGCAGAGAGGGATGGAGGTCAGTGAAGTGACTGGCAGAGAGGAGTAAAGGCCTGTGAAGGGATTGGCGGAGAGGGGTTGAAGGCCAGTGAAGGGATTGGGGTAGAGGGATGGAGGACACTGAATGGAGGTCAGTGAAGTGATTGGTAGAGAGGGGTAAAGGCCAGTGGAGAGTTTGGCAGAGAGGGATGAAGGACACTGAATGGAGGTCAGTGTAGGAATTGGCAGAGAGGGGGTAAAGGACAGTGGAGGGATTAGTAGAGAGGGGTGGAAGACACTGAATGGAGGTCAGTGAAAGAATTGGCAGATTGGGGGTAAAGGACAGTGGAGGGATTGACAGAGAGGGATGGAGGACACTGAATGGAGGTCAGTGGAGGGATTGGCAGAGAGGGGTGGAGGACACTGAATGGAGGTCAGTGTAGGAATTGGCAGAGAGGGGTGGAGGACACTGAATGGAGGTCAGTGTAGGAATTGGCAGAGAGGGGTGGAGGACACTGAATGGAGGCCAGTGGAGGGATTGGCAGAGAGGGGTGGAGGACACTGAATGGAGGCCGGTGGAGGGATTGGCAGAGAGGGGTGGAGGACACTGAATGGAGGCCGGTGGAGGGATTGGCAGAGAGGGGTGGAGGACACTGAATGGAAGCCAGTGGAGGGATTGGCAGAGAGGGATGGAGGACACTGAATGGAGACCAGTGGAGGGATTGGCAGATTGGAGTGGAGGACACTGAATGGAAGCCAGTGGAGGGATTGACAGAGAGGGATGGAGGACACGGAAAGGACGCCAGTGGTGATATTGGCCCAGAGGGATGGAGGACACGGAAAGGAAGCAAGTGGTGGGATTGGCAGAGAGGGGTTGAGGACACTGAAAGGAAGCCAGTGGTGGGTTTGGCAGAGAGGGGTGGAGGACACTGAATGGAGGTCAGTGGAGGGATTGGCAGAGAGGGGTGGAGGACACTAAATGGAAGCCAGTAGAGGGATTGGCAGAGAG